CATTAAAGGGTTCAAACTTTGGATCGCTCTCCTGACCAAACTATGGGGAGCATAGTTCCCAAATTGCATATTTTGAAGACTAAGAATCCAAATATGTAAAAAAAAATTCTATTATTTCTCCATGTTCCTGTTCAATATATATATATATATATGGCTTATCTGAATATACATATTCAGATAAGTGAATTTCGTCATTCTTTTTATACTTTTAATTTTTTTGATTTTTTTCCATTTTTGCTGTTTTTATTATAACGCAGCATTTTAATGGAACGTCTAATACTATAAATTTATTATCACTTTTTCCCTGTACTGTAATTTAAATAGCTAGTAACGTACTGTGATTTTCAGTGTTAAAGTTTTGTTTTAGGAAGTAGGAACAATTTGCTTTTATATTTATCTTTTTACTTGCCTTTCACTTTTCTTTCTATCGGCATTTTTATTATGACACAGTATTTTTTTTTTAATGAACGTTGCTAACAAACTTTGTTTTATAGCAATTTTTCTTTCTTCTAAAAATATGGCAATGTGAAAATTTAAATTGAGATTTTCATTTCAAAAATTAAGTAAGTTTTTTGTTTCTATCTAGCTTTTTTTTTCTTCTTTTTTTCATAGACGTTTTTATTATAATGCGGCAATTTTTAAAATTATTTTTGTTAGACCTAATTCTTTTTTCTTGACTTTTTCTGGTAATTGGAAAACTGAGATGTTCAGCTTTAAAAAAATTTTTGGAAAATTAAGATCGATTTTTATATTCTCTGTTTTGTATATAATCTTTAGTTTTAATGATAGCGTGGCATTTTCAGAAGCATTTCTGATACGCCTTATTTTTTATGAATACGTTTTACCAGAAAATATTCTTAGCATTGAAATTTTGGCTACCATTTGGCTCCCAATATACAGCATTCGGTCGATTTTTTCTGCATTCGGTTTTCGACCAAATCATGTTCGTCGCCGAAAAAACAAAGGAAGAAAAACTAGAATTTGCGATAAAACTGCAACCAAATACCATATGAAAAAGGGATTATTTAAATGCGCGATTAGAAATTCGCGTGTCGTGAAAACATCGGGTTAAATAGCGGGATTGTTAAAATCACTTGGAAAAGTATAGCAATAATTGAAAAAAAAAATACTTTCATTTATGCCGAACTTAGCACGAATAAAGGGTGTCAAATGCGCGATTTAAAATTCGCATGTCGTAATAAAATTATCGGAATAATGCATAGCAATATAACTGCGGAAAAAAATAGTTGATAAAAAGAAAGAGGATCACAAAAAAAAAAAAAAAATCACTTAGATTTACGATGAA